AGGGCGACAGCTCAGCAGTTAAAAGCACTCTTGGCTCAGAGAACCCAAGCTCAGATCTTGAATCCAAGTCAGGATGCTCACAAATACCTGTTACTCTTGCTCCAGGGGATTTGATGCCTTTTTGTAGCTTCCTAGGACACTCCAATGTGTTATACACACACACACACACACACATACACACACATGATAAAAGAAATATTTTTTAAAAATCGAACAAAGAAAGTACAAGTCAAAGTTGGAGAATAACTCAGTGGTTAAACACTTGCCAAGACTATAATGGGTAGGGTGTGGTAGTGCAATGCCTTTAATGCCGACACTCACTCCCTGTCTGTGCAGTTGCGAGAAGTTAGGGATACATAGTGTAATCCTGTCTTTAAAAAGGAAAGAAGGAAGAAAAGACACACACACGCACAGAGAGAGAGAGAGAGAGAGAGAGAGAGAGAGAGAGAGAGAGAGAGAGAGAGAGAAAGGTCTGTTGCAGAGCCTGTAAGAATTTGAGGAGATAGTGAGAATGTTTGCCTTATGAACATCTCTGAGCTTAGGGATTCTTAAGGCTATATTTACTTCAAGTCTTCTTTAGGGACTTATTTATTGGGACTGGAGAGATAGCTCAGCAGTTAAGAGCACTGATTGCTCTTCCAGAAGAACGAGGTTCAATCCTCAGCACCCACCTGGCAGCTCACACCTGTCTGTAACTCCAGTTTCAGAGATTCGGACACCTTCACAAAGACATGCACTGCCAGGCAGTGGTGGCACATGTCTTTAATCCCAGCACTCTGGAGACAGAGGCAGGCAGATTTTTGTGAGGTCAAGGTCTGCCTGGTCTACAAACTGAATCCCAGGACAGGCTCTAAAGCTAAACCCTATCTCGAAAAATAAAAACAAAAACAAAAACAAAAAATTTAGTTGGGCAGTGGTGGCACAAGCCTGGTACTCTCAGCACTTGGGGGCAGAGGCAGGCAGATCTCTGTGAGTTCAAGGCCAACCTGGTTCCAGGACAAACTCCAAAGCTACAGAGAAACCGTTTCAGAAACACACACACACACACACACAAACCCACAAAAAACCTAAAGACATACATGCAGACAAAACACCAATGAACAAAAAATTAAAAATTTTACATATGTACATATATACATATGGCCAACAAAAAAATTTCATTGTATGTATAATACAGTACCACATTTTCTTTATCTGTTTGTCTTTTGATGGACATTTCTGTGGTTCTCTTTCCTGGTTACTGTGAATAGTGCAACCACGGACAGGGGATGTCCAAGCACCTTCACTGCTGCCTTAGAGTCCATAAGTGGAGTAACTAGGCTGTACAGTGGCTCCATTGTTGGTTTTCGAGGAACTTTCATACTGATTTCCTTAGAAGTTGTACAAATTTAAATCTCTTCAGTGAATGAGGGCTTCTCTTTCCTGCATCCTTGCCAGCGTTTGTTGTCATTGTTTTCCTCTTTTTTAAAAAGATTTATTGATTTTCTTTTTTTATGTATAGGAGTGATTTTGCCTGTGTGCATGTCTGTGTATCACGTTTGTGCCTGGCACCCACAGTGGACAAAGAGTTTGTAGATTCCCAGGAACTAGAGCTATGGGTGACTGTGAGCTGGGGTGGGAAATGAACCTGGTCCTCTGCAAAAGCAGCAAATGTTCTTAACCAGTAATCTTTCCAGCCTCATTTGTTTTCTTGATGAAAATCAACCTAAAGAGAGTGAAATAGAACCTCAAAGTAGTCTTAATGTACATTCCTTTTTGACTAAGGATGTCAAATACTTTTTCAAGTTTTTGTGGGTACATTCTTCCTTTGAGAACTGTTTGTTTGCCAGGCCGTGGTTGTGCACGCCTTAATCCCTGCACTCCAGAGGCAGAGGAAGGCAAATCTCTGTGTTTGTGGTCAGCCTGGGCTACAGAATGAGTTCTAGAACAGCCAGAGCCACACAAAGAAATCCTGATTTTGTAGGTCATCTTCTTAATGCTGTTGAATGTTTCTTTTAATATGTAGAAAATTTTTTTGTTTCATGCAATTCCTTTTGTCAATTCTTAGAATCATTTCCTGTGCTATTTGGTCCTTTTAAGAAAACTCTTGCCTGTTCCTCTATCTGGGAGTGGGTTTCCTCTAGCAGTTTCAAAGTGATATAGACAAAGCCTTACATCTTTGTATGTGGAAACTCAGCAAAAAATAGGTGCTATTTTCCAAAATTATGGACCAGACCATAGAATCAAGAAGTGTAGAAACTATAAAAGTCTGTGGTTCCTTAGTTAAGAGAGCTCAAAGCTCTTGTGGAAGACCTGGGTTCCGTTCCTAGCGTGCATGGGGCGGCTCATGCCACCTGTAACTGCCTGTAACTCCAATTCTAGGGGATCTGATGCCAACACATATGTACACACAAAATAACATTTTAAATTTATTTTTAAAAAAGAAATCTTTCACCTAGATAATCTAATGTTATGGTGATATTTTGCACGCTAATAAATAAAGTTAGCTTGAACATCAGAGGGTGGAGCTAACCACTAGTTAACCATAAAAGCCAGGCATTGTTGGTACATATCTTTACTCCCCGAACTTGAGAGGTGGGAGCAGGAAGATCAGGAGTTCAAGGCCACACTAGGCTATGTGAGATTTAACCAGTCTAAAAGACAGACAGAGTCCACATCTTTGATCCCAGCATTTGGGATCCCATGTCTTTAATTCCTGCGGTGGAGGAGGAGACAGGAGATAGGGTGGTGGAGACAGGAAGTGATATGCCTGGGTGGAGAGAGGAGGAGGAGATAGGGTGGTGGAGACAGGAAGTGATATGCCTGGGTGGAGAGAGGAATATAAGGCAGGAGGAGACAGGAACTCAACCCTTTTCAGTCTGAGGATTTTGTAGAGGTAAGAACTCTAGTGGCTGGCTGTTGGGCTTCTCTGATCCTTCAGCATTCACCCCCTAATATTTGACTCTGGGTTTTTATTATTAGATCAACTAGGATTTGCGGTGCATAATGTGACATCCACCACAGTAGGGAAGGAGGAATGACTATGGCACAGCTATTTTCCTCTGGGCTTCACATAGCCGCCACTGTTTTGAGCCAAATGGCTTTATTGACCCATAATCTAGGTAAGAAGTTTATAGAACTAGACAGGCCTGGTATCCCAGGACTATAATGCCAGATAATCTAATAGCAGACGCAAAACTAGTAAGAGTTCAAGGCCAGTCTAGGTAACTTGGGAGACCCTATCTCAAAAGCAGGAAAAAAAAATTTAAAAGACTAAGGATGTAATACAGCAAAACACCTATCTAGGTGTACAAAGTCCTAGGTTCAAATGCTAGAATTGGAGAACATGATTGGGAAAGGGAGATATAACTCCGAAGTTAGGTCTCTGGTAACGAGGTTGGTTTCCTTTGTTTTTGTTTTTTTTTTGAGACAGTTTTCCTAGGTAGCTCTGGCTGTCTTGGATCTTGCCAGGTAGACTGGGCAGTCCTGGAATTCAAAGAGATCTGACTGTCTGTTTCATGAGTACTGGTACTAAAGCTGTGCTCCAACAATGCCAAGCTGGGTTTGGTTATTTTTTTTTTCAACCTCTCTGGACCCTATGGACTTCTTGTGACCTTCCCCTGTGATTCCTATTATTACTTTCTATTGCCCAACTTACTGTGGTCATGTGAAACAGAAAAAGAAAAGTGCCTAGAGGTGCACTCGGGAGGCAGAGGCCAGTGGATCACTAAGTTCAAGGCCAGCCTGATCTACAAAGTGAGTTCCAGGGCAGTCAGGGAGACACAGAGACCACCCAGGAATGGTTGGCCCAGATTAAAACCCGGACTTTAATTCAGCTTGATTGGCTTATTGCATTGGTAGCATTACCCACAACCAGGAGATATTTTTCCTTATCACAGGTGTCCATGAAAATAAAGAACAGCTACAAAGGAAGAGTCGGTTCTTTTGCAATGGTAGCAGTTTGGCACAAAGCAACCCCTCTTGTGGGCTATCTAGAATTACAGGTCTGGAGAACTGAAGAGATTTCTCTGCAGTTAAGATCATGTGTCTGCGTTGCAAGCATTGCAACCAGGCAGTGATGGCGTACATCTTTAATCCTAGTACTGAGGAAGCAGAGGCAGGCTGATTGATCTCTGTGAGTTCCAGAACAAGCCCCAAAGCTAAAGAGAAACCCTATCTCAAAAAAAAAGAAAAATAAATTATTTTTACTCCTTTAATCTATGACTGTCTTACTCTTTCTCTTTAAAGACTTTACCCCTTTTAAAAAAAGCGTTAGGGGGCTGGAGAGATGGCTCAGCGGTTAAGAGCATTGCCTGCTCTTCCAAAGGTCCTGAGTTCAATTCCCAGCAACTACATGGTGGCTCACAACCATCTGTAAAGAGGTCTGGCGCCCTCCTCTGGCTGTGGGCATACATGGAGGCAGAATGTTATATACATAATAAATAAATATTAAAAAAACGTTAATTTTATTTTATGACTCTCTATACTCTTTTCTTCTCTCTCCCAAGCCTATGTACATTTATCCAACTGTGACTCATTTATAGGTCTTTTATGTCTGAATCTTTCCTACTTTGTATCTATAATTCTTTACTGTCCAGGAGCACTTCTTAAAACGCTAAGTGCTTCTTAAAAACTTAAGCTGTGTCTTTGCAGAGGTAATACAGCAGTGCCTGCTTGCCCGGCTCAGTCCAGCATGGCGGAGCTGCTTGTGCCTCTGAGCCACGCACACCGCCCCACTTCCAGGCATACAGCTTGGTCCAAGTTGCAATCAGCAAGCCTGAGCAATATGCTCACAAACCCCATCCAAATACTCTGTCTCACAAAAGAGTCAGAGGTCACGCTGTTGGTACATCCCAGAAAGCCAGTATTTTTAAAACCGTCACTTTTTTTTTCTGCTGTGGCTGAGTCAGGAAAATCTCTCTTAAAGGAGCTATGTCATGCTACCAACAAATAACAAAAAAGCTGTGTTAAACTCTGTATTTTGTGTTTAAAATTAAGCTCTCTCAGGTTTTTTTTTTTTTTCATAATCAACGACTTTATGTGAAGAAAAGGCATTGTTACAATGGCTCAAACCCGTCCTTGAACACGCGTGACAGATTCAGTCCGGCTTCTAACTAGCAAATGTCTTGCCCACGTCCTCCTTCCCTTTGTATCTCCTCTTTCCGTGTGTGAATGGTGTGTTCCGGTATTTAATCATGTGCTTTATTTGCCTCTTCATTGTGAATCAGAAAAGCATGATGAAGTACATCACCAGGATCGGCCAGAACACGGGGACGTTGAAAGCCTCGAAGAAGGTGCAGATCAGAGCCACAAGAATGCCTTTTGTAGCTGCATGCCAAAATTTGAATTCTGGAAGCCTTCTAATGAAGGGACGAAACTCCTCCTTCTGTTTGGTTGGTAATGAAGGGCCGTCATCTGAGTCTTCCATCAAGGAAGGATCCACTTTGGGAGAAAGGAACGCTATGAAAAGGTTTAGGTGGCAAATCCCCAAGGCGTAGGTCACAACGTACCAACCCTGTAACAGGTAAACTCTAATCATGTACACAAAACTCAGGCCCAGTGTCACGACCCACTGGACAGCTGTGTAGGGGGTAGACTTGTCCAGCCAGGAGTGATAAATCTGTCCAAGCCGTGTGAAAAATCTGTACACCACTGAGGGCTTCCCATGGACAGAGTCTCCAACACTGTCCCCTTCAGACATTCTGTAACTCGCAGCTCCGCTGCAGCCGAGCCGAGGTCTCCCTCACGGCTGCGGAAGGAGGATGGCAGGCAGGGCGGCCTCCAGAGCTCGGCTCCGGATCCGGGAAGCTGCACCAGGCACTTCCTTTACGTCCTGTGGCGCCGCCTCCAGCCGCCAAGATGCTCTCTCAGGTTTTTAAGTGCATTAGTCCGTCATGTTGGCGCTAATTGTTGCATGGAGGGGGCCGCTTGTTTGTCCTGGCCGCTGGGCTAGCTTAGCCCTGAAATAACCACACAAAAATTGTATTAATTAAATCACTGCTTGGCCCATTAGTTCTAGCCTCTTATTGGCTAACTCTCACATCTTGATTTAACCCATTTCTATTAATCTGTATATTGCCATGTGGCAGTGGCTTACCGGGAAAGATTCAGCACGTCTGACTCTGGCAGCTCCATGATGGCTCTCTGACTCTGCTTTCTTCCTCCCAGAATTCTGTTCTGTCTTCTCCACAAACAGAAGGACCTCCTGTACCACATAACAGTTTTTTCTGCTGTATATCTATGAACCACATACATGTCTGGTGCTCAAGGAGGTCAGATAAAGACATTGAGTCCACTGGAACTAGAGTTTGCGAGCTACCATGTTGGTGCTGGGAGCCAAGTTTTAAGTCCTCTGCAACAACAAACGCTTTTACCCACTGTGCAGCCATCTTTCCAGTCTTTTATGATTCAGTTGAATTTTATTTTGTAGTATTTGGCTAAATATTTTTGTATCAGTACTCATTCGAAATTTTGGTTCATAGTTTTTTTTCTTATGATGCTAACTTTGTCTAATATCCAAGTATTGCTGGCTTCAACGAAAGAATAGAGAAGGTGTGCTTCCATTTCAACATTTTCCAAGAGTCTATAGAATACTGATATTGATTTATTATTCCACAAATGTATGGCAGAATTTATCAGTGAAGACATCTGAAAGATTAAAGAATTTCCGGGTTTTTTTTTCCTTTTTGCCCACATTTTTTAGCAATTAGTTTAATCTCCTTACTAATAATAGATTTGTAAAGATTTTTTCTTTGTGATTCATTATTAGTATGTTTCTAACCCATTTTTGTGGGTTTTCTAATTTGGTGATGAACATTTTTATAACAACCTTCCCATAGAAAATCTTTTTATTAAATAGGAAAGTATACCTGAAATGTAATTTTAAATTTTGAAAATCAGGTCCTAAAAGTGAAGAAAAATTGTTTATGGTTGACAGTTACATATTCAGGCAGGTAAGGTCATTCATCAAATCTTATGTTTTGTAATAATACACATATTATTCCAAGATTAAAGTAACCCAATGCTTGTATCCATAAAGTACATTTAATATATTCCTAGTATAATTTTTAATATCATTTCTGATATTACTTTTGATTTACTTACTGTCTTAGTTAGGATTTTATTGCTGTGAGAAGACACTACAGCCAAGGAAACTCTTATAAAGGCAAACATTCAATTGGGGCTGGTTTACATTTTCAGAGGTATAGTCTATTATCATCATGGTGTGAAATATGGCAGTGTACAGGCAAACATGGTGCTGGAGAAGGAGCTGAGAGTTCTACATCTTGATCCACAGGTAGCAGAAGGAGACGGTGTATCACACCGGGCATAGCTTGAGCATAGGAGACCTCAAAGCCCCCTCCTCCCCACTGACACTCTTTCAACAATGTCAGAGTCCACAGTTTTGTACCCATTCCATCTTTTATTATTATTATTATTATTAATTAAAACACTGCTCAGACAATTACTTAGGCATATTGCTAGCGAGCTATCTTTTTGTTTTGTTTTTGTTTTTTTTCAAGACAGGGTTTCTCTCTAGCTTTGGACCCTGTCCTGGAACTAGCTCTTGTAGACCAGGCTGGCCTCGAACTCACAGAGATCTGCCTGCCTCTGCCTTCCGAGGCAGATTAAAGCTGGGAATAAAGGCATGCACCACCACTACCTGGCTAGCTAGCTCTTACATCCTAAATTAACCCATTTCTATGAATCTTGTATTGCCATGTTATTGTGGCTTACTGGTAAGGTTCTGTCTGTTGTCCAATGCTTGTCTTCTGTGGTGGTTACATGGTGTCTCCTTGACTCTGCCTACTCTCTCCTCCTCTGTCAGCTCAGAGTTCCCACCTGGCCCTACTCTGTGCTGCAATAGGCCCAAAGCAGCTTCTTTATTAACCAGTGGTATTCACAGCATACAGTGGGAAATCCCACATCACCCCCACCCTTCTGTCAGTAAGGCTCTGTCTTGACTAAAGGTCAGAGAGTTCAAACCCTTTCTTGCTTCTCTAAGGACAAATAACAGGTTGTTTGACCAAAGGTGTGGCTTCTGAATGTTTTGCTCCTCAAAAGCCTAACAAAAGGATGTTTGACTTAGGGCATGGTTACTGGGTGTTTTGAGATGTAAGGAGGTAATTACACTTGCTTGTTCTTTGTATCATGAAAGTCTTGTGCTCTCCCCTTGTGATTGGGGTATATAAGCACCATGAATAATAAACTTGAGGCTGTTACAGTATTCACTGGATGCCCTCAGAAATCTCTCTTCTGTCTCTTGTCTATTTCTTTCCTCAATCCTCACTCCCCTTTTCAGGAATGTACAAACAAGTTGGCTGGTCCTGACACTCTAACAACTTCTTAATAGTGCCAATTCCTATGGGCCAAGCATTTAAACACATGAGTATATCGGGCCTATACCTATTCAAATCAACAAACACACTTACCAAATGAAATGTATAAATTAAATTTCTATAAATTAGACTGGCGTGATGGTGTGTGTCTTTAATCCCAGCACTCAGGAGACAGAGGCAAGAGGATCTCTGAGCTCGAGACCAGCCTCTAAGTACTTTTTTTTTTTTTTTTTTAATGTTTCACATGACCACAGCAAGTTAGGTAATAGGAAGTGATAATAGAAATCACAGGGGAAGGACACATGAGGTCCCTAGAGTCCAGAGAGGTTGCATCTTGGAAATTCGACACCTGTATTACCTGGTCATGGCCCCTCTCCCTATCTGTCTATCTAACTCCTAGTCTCTCAGGGTAAAATAATAAATAGTGAAGGAGAAGAAAATAAATCCAGAGAAGCAAAGCAATTTCTATAGTCAGTATTTGTTTACTGAACCAGAAGGAGGTGGAAAAGCTGTTGTTCCCACAGCCCGGTCTTCTGAACTAATTTGGTGTTGGGAGCAGTCATTCTCTCTGAAGACAAAACAGGTTGAACCAGAAATGGCTGTCTCCAGGCTGAGCCCTGTTATGCCTTTCTAAGAGGGTGGGAGGTGTTGTACAGAATTTCTGGGAGTACTTTTCAATATGCAGGCCTAGCAATGCAAGGGGTGAGGAGCCGTCTTCGAGCCTCTCCAGCTGCTGAGCCTGAGGACCCAACGGTTGGATGCTGGTCTGTGGCTTCTAATTGGTGATTGTTATTCTGGTGGAAGCATCACCCCAGCCCCTGGCACCATATATCCAAAGAGTCTGGCATGTTCAGGAGGAAGTTCCATTCCAAGCCCCCCATGCCTGGAGTTGCCTCAGTGCAGACTCTGCCCCCGAGGAAGCCCACCACCAGCGGCTTCATCCCTGAGGGTATTAAAAGCCCCCACCTCGTGGTTTCTCCTCTCAGTCTCCCCAACTTCCCCTGGGACCACCCAGGAATACTTTGCTCAGAATATACCAGGATTTATTAATTTGGTTTGGTTGGCTTATTACATCAGCAGCGGCAGATTCCCATTAACCAGGAATTTAAACTTAACAACCGCGATTTGTTTAATTTTAAAGAAATTACTGATAAAGACTTATTACTGTCATTTTGCTCTTTTTCCACAAAGCTCCTATCTTGGTTTGCAACTCTGTCTCCACTCTTCCTTCTGTTTATCCCACTAGTCAATGTTAGGAATATTTCTTAGTCGAATTTCCCCGCTGATGCAAATCAATCAGACCAAATTAGACCAAATAAAAGATGCCCACGTTTAATGCAGTGCTACCGGATGGCACCGGGAAAGCATGGCAAGGGGAAGAGGAAGAAGGGGAGACCATGCAAAACCCAGAGACCACGTGTTCATGGGGGGGGGGGCAGCCTAAATAGCCTGTAGGAGTGGTCCTGACCCTCCCTGGGGAGGAGTCACCGCTTGGAGTTCAGACCAAGGCAACTCCCAGGGGAGGGGGCTTGAAATGGAGCTTCCCGCTCCATTCCAAAGATGGGTGCCAGGGGCTGGGCTGAGGTCCCCAAGTATAATAGTCAAACATAAGCCTGTTTGGGTGAAGGCCTCACCAGAGCCCCTTGCATCCATATATCCAGAGTCTGGATGTTTTTGGGTGGAAGTTCCACCACAAGCCCCAGTCCCCTGGGTGTTGCCTCAGTCCAGACTCCGCCCCCAAGAAAGCTTGCCAAATGATAACCCCTCCCCAGAGATCCTCAAGACCACTCCCGAAGGGTATTTAACCCACCCCACCAAGAACAAACACATGGTTTTCCAGTCTTCCTTTCTATTCTCCTCTCTGGCGGGGAGGGGCTGAAAGCCATCTGGAGCATTTGTATCCATTAAACCTGGGCTTTTTCTAATTCAGTTTGATTTGTTCTGATCTCCATTATTGTGTGGGCGGAGAGACTCATTGGGGTGCAGAAACTTTTCAAAGACCACTACCACAGTTTAAAGCCGAAGCAAGCTTTAATTAAATATTGACCAGGTTGATGGACCCTCTAGCCAGGCTCATCTTTGGTTTCCCAGAAAATGACCCTCAGTCATTTGCAGGGGCTTAATGTATTTCCTATCAGGTCCAATCAGGGGCAAGCAAACCTCCTGACTTTCTTCCTGCTACTGAACCTCCCACCCTCATGCGATCAAGTACATCCGGTGCAGTTGGGTCAACCAAACTAGTTTAGGGGAGTGGAAACCACAAGTCTTTTTATCTCCCATAAAGAACAGCTTCCAGCATTCCAGAAACTATCCGACCTTGGGCAAAGGGCTGGCAGTTCAGAGGAATTTTTCTTTTGTGGATCTCTAAAGCATAGTAATTAAAACTTAAACTGTAACTTCGATTCTCACACTTCCTCTGAGTAGTTGATTTCGGTCTATTTGCACCCATTCCTACCTCCAGGCAGCCACCATTCCACCTTTTTCTGAAAATGAAAACTTTAGATATCG